GCCAACTTTTGAGCAAATTCCTTTAAGATTATTGGAAATGTAGGCTGGTGGTGGTAGAGATGGTGTGGCCCATAATATGATAATACTATTTAAAATAATTATCATCATATATATATATATAATTCAGTCTTTTTGTCAAAGTTGTTTTTGTTATGTTTCAAACAAAATAAATATAAATGATATTGATGTTTGATCATTTTTTTAATTCTATCGGTGAGTAAAATTGGAGATGCAGGGTATCGATCCCCGTACCTCTCGCATGCTAAGCGAGCGCTCTACCATATGAGCTACATCCCCAAGATGAAAGAAGATTATTTGTAAATTGAATGGATCTTTAAATATATTTTGAGTGTTGAGTGTGACTTTTTATTATCCCTTATTTAAATCCAAATCAATCCTATCTACCAAACTATTTTAACTCATTTATGTTCTCCAAAAATAGTAAAAGGAAAAAAACTACATTTTATAATTTTTTTGCAAATCAATTAATCAATATTCTAATATCAACTAGACTCAAGTATTGGGCAAAATTGAAACCAATTTATCTGGTTCAAAGATTTCCCTAATCTATGCACTTAGTTTATTTGTCCTTACGGTTTTTAAATTTTTAATTATGGTGAAAATTTCTATGGAAAGTATTTCTTATAATAAATTTAAAAAATTGGAGTATAAATGTATAAACTTTTACAAATTTTTCTTTTAAAGTAAAATTTATTTATTTTCTTTCCATTTGAATCTCATTCCTTCTCTCAATCATATCTACGTTTATTTTTTGAAGAAATAAAAATTATTTTATTTAAGTGGATCCTGCAATTTCCTCCAATTTTATTGCACAATTTCTTTAGGATAATAATATATTTTTTTAACCAAAGATAACATTATTTTATCTTTCATCTATATTGAAACTTATTGATTTTTTTTTCTTTATTTCTTTGGCATGAAATGGTTGACTAAACATATTATATATTATAGGACTAAGGAAAAAAAAAGAGTTATAAGAAGCTCAATAACTGAAATCATATTAAATATATATTTTTTTGAATAAATTGGGACTTGAAAGAAAAGGAGAAATACAAATTGTTATATGATATGTTTAAATAATTCACATCAAAATGGCTTGTGAAATGAGAAAACCTTTTCAAAAGGTTCTTCTAAGTGAGGAGAAGACCAACTTTCATACCATTATCTTTTCCTTTTTGTTGGTGGTGGTCCAAATTTTTTTAGTAATAATTATTTTGAAATAAAAAGGAAAATAAAAAAGGAATTAAAATTTCCAAGTTTCCCTTATTTGAATAAATATCCACCCTATAAATGGATGTTTTTATAATTTATTCTCTATCGTTTAAAATTTTCAATTTAGTCTCTTGTATTTTAATATTTTTCAATTATATCATTCACATTAGTGAACACTCAAAATGATGGAACTTGTATGACATGATATTTAGTTAGTTTGTAGAAACTTAAAGGATAGATTAGGTTACTTGAAGATAGAAAAGTTTCTAATTTATTTTCAAAATTTCTAAGAAATTGACATAAATTTTAACTTCATAGGTGGCTTAATTCTTCCTTTAAAAATTTATGTTAACTCACTCAGTATTATGTCATGTAAATTTATTATCAGCTAATTTTAACATTATCTTATAAAAGAATATAATTAAACTATATTAAAATATAAGAGACTAAATTGTAAATTTTTTAAACAATATCAACCAGGACTACAATTGAAAAAATGCCCAAACTTAAAACTAAAAAGCATATATTTAGCCTAAATAATTAAAATCCAATTTTAATGAGATAACATTAGAGTAACTTAAATCGATTGAACCATTTTGATTGACAAATTTTGAATTTCAATTAATTTCGAAGTATTAAGAATCTTTTTTGGGTCAATTCTTAGAGATAGCTTAATTGGTTAAGACATCATGTATCTCGACCAAAAGATTGTAGGTTCGAATCTTACTTTCACTGTGCTCCACATGTTATTATACTGAAAAAAGATTCGTTTTGAAATATAATATATTCTTGTATTTTAAATATTTTACAACTATACCCTTCTTTTTTTTATTGGAGAATAATCTAGTTTTCTATATAGGGAAATATGTTGCTCTCAAATTAAAGTTTGTAAGTGATATCATATTCTCTTGTGAAAAAGAAGGTGAAATTATCTTCTATAAAGAGAGCTAAAGTCCTTGTCAATTAAAAATAGACAGAAATTTTGTCCTACATTTTTGTGTAGCACCATTAAAATAAGTGGGTCATTGCCAAATAATGCCACAATTGCAAATTCTTCAAACTATAAGGATCTGTAGAAAAAGTTAGAGGTCTATTTGCAAATTATCTAAAATATTCAGATTTCTATATGTTTCACACGAGTTAATTTAACAAAATATTTATATGAACATTACGATGCCTCAAAAGTGGTAACTTGTAAACTTGATTTATTTGATAATTACTATTTAAAATCTTTAGCAAAAGCTTTCTATTGATTCCAACAATGAAAAATAAACTAAATACATTGATTAAGACATACAAAATACAAATGATGTGACAAAATTCTCTATAAATGAATATTTCGTATTTATCATAGGTTTACTCTAAATATTATTTTGATTTTTTTGAACTTTTCGTACATAAATTTTTAAATATTATTATATTTTACTCGCAACTTAAAAAAAAAAAAATTAATCCTTAAAATTTGCATAGCAAACTACTTTATCTTTGTAGTTAATTTTTCATTGATCAAATGTATTAATATAGTGGGTATTTGATACATTACTTCGAAATGGGGGTATATTGCACTGTCATTCTATTTTATCTAATTTGTATTAATTTTTCATTAATCAAATTTATTGACATAGTGGCACAGTTTATAAAAAATATTGATACCTTGCTTCAAAATGAGAGGATAATATTGTACCTGCCGTTTATAAACAAGTTTTGATGTATTGCTTCAAATGAGAGTATATTATCCCACTTTATTTTATTTGTTATACACTTTCTTCTTCAACTTATCTATTATGCTGTATCAAATCAATTAATATTTGTCTCATACATTATTATTTAATACCTATCTTCACTTGACATAAGAAACTTTTATTCAGAAGTTTAAGACACAATTATAACATTTTAAAGTTTATATAATAAGACATTTTAAAATTTAAATTTCAAAATAATTATTCTTTTCAAGAGTTTGAGGGTTGAAATGATGTTTTAAAAGTTCAAGAGTGAAAATTAAAATATTTTGGAAAGTTAAGCTCAAAATTCAAAAGTCGCCCCAAGGTCCCGTATGTCTATAATTATTAATATTTATACTGTGTAATATGTTAATTTATTATTTATTTAGTATAAAAAAATAATAAAAAAAATAACGACATGCGTGCAGGAATAAATTTAACCTTTGTAATTGTTATTATCAACACACGACAATGGGCTGACATCTCACAGATATAGGAGGAAGGAGTTTCCTTCCCCATAATTTTTATTGTGAATTTTTCTTTCTAATGTACTGTTTTTTAAAATGTTAGAAATTTTTTAAATTTCAAATTATAGGTAGTGAATTTTTTTTTTTCATTTTCTAATATAAAACTTTTTTTATAAATATCAATATAATTTTTTTATTATCCACTCTAGTTATATTCTAAATCTCAATTTCTCTCTAACCTTTTCAATTCTAAAACTCAAAAAGTTTTGTTTCAAAAAGTATTTTAAAAATGATTCTTAATAATTAAGAATAATTTATTATATGAACCATTCATCCATCAAACTTTGACTCAATGAGTTAAATTAATGGATTGGACTATGACTCTAAATTTGAGTAGTTGGATCGACACAAGCTTGACCCAAATAGTACTTTGTGACCCGTAGAAGTTGGGTCTTTGCTTCTTTGAGCCGGCTCAACTTGGCCAATGATAAAGCTGAAAAATGAGATTTAGGAAGGGAGGAGCAAAAAAAAGCCCAAAACTAGAGAAGCATTTTCCTAATACCTAGCCCAATAGACCAGAACTTCGATAAGAAAATATAGAGAATCATGTCCTCCTCTAATGGACCAAAAGCCCAATAAAAAAATACAGAGCCCTAATTTTTCCTTTCTGTATAGAATCCTTTCGTCTTCCTCCAATGGACCAAAAGCCCAATAAGAAAATATAGAGCCATAATTTTTTCTTCCATATATAGAATCCTAAATCTTGATCTTCCTCTAATGAACCAAAAGCGCAATAAGAAAATATAAAGCCCTAATTTTTCTTTCATATATAGAACCCTATATTTCCATCTCGGACAAGGCCTCTACCTTATTTCTTGGGCACGATCTGGCTCGAAAATATATAGTGTTATAAATTTAATTAAAATATTATTTGACTTGGTTTATATTATGTGTTATAAATTTAATTAAAATATTATTTGACTTGGTTTGCTTCAATGTTTTAAATGTCGGATGTCGATGGAAATGTCGAGGTCTCAATTTTACCGAAATATCGATAAAATGTCGATGTCGATTGATATTTCTGAAAAAGTTAGAAAAATTGAAAAATCGTAAAAGATATTTAAATTAACAAAATAAACATTTTTCTATTTCTAAATTAGTTAAAAATAATTAATATCAATAATTATATATATTAGTGACATTTTATTGATATTTTTTCATATTTTATCGATTTTCTTGTACTATGATAAAATCTTCGACGTGTCGACGAATATTTAAAACTATGGTTGGCTTCAACCCCATCCTGCCATCCCCTAGACTTAAGTTAGAAGCATACTCACTTAGTTTCTCTCTCTAGACTTCAAATTTTTTTTTATTAAGTTAAGTGCAAATTTGTAATTTCACAATCGCTTGCATGTAAGAATTTTTCTTTTTTTTGTCAGAAAAAACTTGTTTTCAAATTTTGGGTTATTTTTTAAAATCCAAACACTTTTTGGTTAGAATGGTCAATTTACCAAAATAAGAGCCCTAATTTTTTTTCCTATATATATAAAACCTAAATCTCCGTTTCCCCCTAAAACCCTAATTCCTCGCCCTCTCAAACAAAAATGGCTTCCCCTGGTTCTGTATGTGTTCCTCCTTCTTCCAGAGTTAATCAGCAAACGGCCGAGAAAGCTGTGGAATCCCTCCTCCAATGGCGAAATTCCAAGCGGGAGAAGCCACAACTCTTTGACCAGGAGGATTTTCTATACCTCGTCGTAACCCTCAGGAAAATCCCTCCCAAAGGCCGCACAAATCCTTACAAAATCCCTCTCCCTCATTCCCTTCACTCCGAATCGTCTGAACTCTGCCTCATTATCGACGACCGAACCAAATCTAATCTCACCAAAGATGACGCGAGGAAGAAAATCCAGTCGGAAAATATTCCAATTTCGAAGGTAATTAAGTTGTCGAAGCTTAAATCCGATTACCGCCCCTTTGAAGCTAAGCGGAAGCTGTGCGATTCGTACGATATGTTTTTCGCTGACGATCGGGTGATCCCACTGCTGCCGAGTCTGTTGGGGAAGCATTTTTTCAAGAAGAAGAAGATTCCGGTGCCGTTGAATTTGAGGCATAAGAATTGGAAAGAACAGATTGAGAAGAGCTGTGCGTCGGCGTTGTTGTATTTAAGGACGGGGACTTGTAGTGTGGTGAAGGTGGCAAAGACGTCAATGGAAGTTGAAGAGATTGTGAGTAATGTGATTGCGGCCATTGATGGGATTGCGGAGATTGTGCCCAAAAAATGGAGTAATGTTCGGTCCTTTCATTTGAAGTTGCTGGAGTCGATTGCATTGCCAATTTACCAGTCAGTACCGGACTTGAAGTTTAAAATTGAGGCCGCCATGAAAGGGGAAGACAAGGGAATCGAAGAAGTAGAAGATTCAGGTAAGAGTCCTACTCCTGTCAAGGTTAGTAACAAAAAAGAGAAGGAGAAAAAGTTGAGCAAGAAGAAGGGGAGGATTCATGAAGTTCGTTACATGGACAGTAATGGCGGAGAGTTGTCTGATGAAGATGAATTGGGCAGTGATCTTGATGAAGACACAGATAATGTTAAAGTTAGTGAAGATGTCATAATGGGTAGTGATGAATTGAAGGGTAAGAAACGGAGTAGAGTGAATAAGGGGAAAGAAGAAGACCTTCAAACTGAGTTGAATGTCGAGAAGCCATTGAAGAAACCAATTAGTATGAAGAAGGACAGCGTCAAACAAAAAAAAGATGAGATCTCCGAGAAGAAGAAAATCGGAGATAAGATAAAAAAGAAGGGAGGTCTGTTATCTGTTGACAATGATGGAGAATCTGCTGGGAAGAAGGTAAAGAAGAGTGGGGTTTCGAAGTTGAAAGCTGCTGGAACAAAGAAAGCAAAGAAATGAACGTTAGAGATGGATAAAGCTTAAGCTAGGGAGCTCTAGAAGGGACCTTTCTCTTCTTCATGAGGTTTCTTCCTGATCCAAGTATGTCTATACCTTCCGCTTTTGAAGTGGCAAGTTTTGATTATCCCTAATCATTTTCCATTTTTTTCATTAGGATTGGAAAATGAACTGATGATTTATATGTCTGTTTGTTCTTAGTTAAAGAGAATTTTGAAAGCTTGATTGATGTTTGCTCTTTTCCTGTGTCAACTGATACTTCCCTATTCTTTACAATTAGTTTTCTCCCATGACTGAATTAGATATCATTACTTGATTACACAATGAAATGAGACTAGCAAGCAATCTTGGAGTTGGGGTTATATATATTTTGCAGATTGTAATGACAAAAAGTAGAAAGAGAAAAGAAAGAACTTAGATGTGCAGGCCTGGTTGGTTAGACACGGTGTGGACAATAAATCAGTCATCATTCAAGGACGTTAGTAGACATTCTTGTACAGAAGCAGGGAGGAGAGGAGAAGAGTGGTGGAAATTGTAGAGCTCAAATAGAAATCAGTCACCATTCAAGGACATAGACGCAATTCTAGTGAGGATAAGATAAAGAGTAGACAATTTACCTCTTACAGTAACTCTCAATCCAACTTAACTTCCTAATCTAGAAAGAAAATGGTTGAACTCCTTATTGAATTTTCAGGTTTGTTTCATTTTGGTTATTGAACTTTCACAAAGTAACTATTTTTGTGCTTGCTGTTATTTTGCTCTGAACTGATAGCTTAGATTTCAGTATGTGTATTAATGTGGTAACATGTGAGCATGTATTCAAGCAACATAGAACTCGGGAGGACTTGAAAATGAAATGAAATTTGTAATCGTTAGTGTTAGTATAGAGTATAAAATAATGCTGCACCACCCTATGAAGTTCCATAATTTTAAATTTAGTAATTTGTCCAGTAAAGCTCTTGGGTATTGATGTTCCTTTGTGTTCGGATGTGGACCTGATGGCAAAGATTCCCCGGTCGGGTGACTCTGCTCTAAATGGGAGGTCAGGGACGAAGAAAATAATGAGGCCATCCATGCCTTGTCACCTTCTAAACTCCAAAACTCATAAAAATACATATATAATCATCTTTTTTTTTAATGCCAATTTCTTCACCGCCAAAACGAGCATAGTTAAGTGGTAATCGGCTCGTGGATGGTTTGCCATAGGCCTATTGTCGGTGAGAGAGGCCGACGACACACGGAGCGGAGAGATGTGCTGCGTCGAGCGGGTTTGTCACGAAGGGTGAATTGTCATGCCAGCATGGGTTCCAGAGAAGTAGTTGTACAGAGGAGAAAAGAGAGAGAAGGGGCCTTTGCCGTTTGGGGTTGCCTTGGGCTATGAGTTAGGGTTAGGGAAAGAGGGTTTTAAAAAAATAATAATAACAATGTACGGTTCGTTTTTCGGTTTAACACACTTTAAACCAAACTGATTCAATATAATTGTTAAAAAAAAAAGAAAAAAAAATTAATTTGATATTGAAACGAAAATTGAACCAGCTTCGGTTAAATAAAGAATCATAATTAATTTTGAATTAATAAAAATAAATAAATGATAATTTGTTTTTTAAATGTTCTGAAGGGAGCATGAATTTCTTTTGAAAGTATAATCCATAATCTTATTTTAACATTTGAACAAAAAAAAAAATTTAAAACGACACTTAATTAGAAATTAATCCAACCTAAGCATAGCATTATGGGCTAAGACACTTATTTGCGTCTGAATCTCTACTTCTACTATTGTACTAAAAATATATATAGATATACAGTCTTAATGAAATTTGATTTTTTTTTTTTACAAATGAAATTTGATTTTAAAGTAAAGTTTATTTTTTTTAAAAAATAAAGTTAAAAATGACTGCATTAAATTTAAACACTATTAATTCAGATCCAACTAGTAAAGCCCATAGGTGAGAAATGGACCGTGCTTCACCTCGACTTTTAATGGTTAAAGTTTGAATTTTTCCCTTCTCTTAATGATTGTTTAAGAGTTCAAATTTGATTTTTGGATTTAATTTTCTAGTAGTTGGTATAATTTCCTTGACTAGTGGTTTGAAAATTAAATTTTACAATCTTAATCATTTTAAGTTTTGAATAATATCATTTTCATTTTTTTTTCCTTATCAATAGATATATATATTTATGCGTCTTTGTAGAGAAAATGACTCATCTTTATATGTATTTCTTTTTCTCGTTAATTACTTCGATCTTCTTCGATTGTTGGTAAACATAGATGTCATTTTTGGCTATTATGTAGGATTTGTCTTTGGCAGTGGAATTGGGATGCTGATCCGCGTGAACACTGTCCTAGTTCGAGTTCTATCCGGTTTGGTTTCACTCATTTTGAAGGTAATGGGGTAGTGCATCAACTGGCCTGAATTGGCTTCTAGCATCAACTTGATCGGATTTGGTTTAAAAAAGGATTGCAAGTCATCTCTTTTCTTCTGATTTTTCGTTTGATTTTCTTTTAAGCTGCTATTTATGTTTTCAGACTTGAACCTATTTAACATCAAAATATATGATTTACTTAACGTACATCAAAATATATGAATTAAATACGTATCAATACGTTCAAAATTATACATATATAGTCCCGTGACACAGAATTCTAAATCCACCCATGTTAATCCTTATCCATTTCTACCTTTATTATCATCTTCATTTCCCATTCAAAATGACCTTTGTGGTTTTCAAAGGTGAATTATTCCAAAGTATTATGAGATAAGAGAGAAAGAGAGGCGCCCCATAAATTAGCAAAGTGGCAAAATTGAATTAAAATTTTGGCTTCTCAAATTTTCCTTTTTCTTCACATATTCATTGCATTTCTTCGTCCACTTTTTTTGAATTTTGACCGTCCACTTTCCCCCTCTTTTCTTAATATGAATACTATTAATTTCTTTACAATTTTTCAGTAATATGGTTATTTATAATTATAATCCGTCTATGAGACATATTTTAAAGAACCTGTGTTCTTTTCTTTTCTTTTTTTTTCTCTGTTTGAAACAAAAATACCCGTATTTATTTGTGTTAAATCACCATTGAATCTAAAAATTACTAGAGCTTTAATTCACTGAGTTAGACCTTGATTAGTGCATAAATTTAATTACTTTTTAATATTCTCCTCATTTTGTGGATTTGAAAATCTAGACCGTTTTCATTTTCTTGTTTCAGTTTTATTGATAAACCTAAGAAATTGACAACTAATTATATTTCTTATTTCTCATTTTTTTAGAAACATTCCTAAAATTGTATAGAAATTATTTTAAGAATTTATACCACAACCATTTTTTATTAAGAATATTTTTATCTATATCTTTATAATATTTTATACCCACTTTAAATTTTAAACAATTTTAGAATTATTTTTTTAAAACTTTTCATTGTATTTTTCAGATTTGAGGTTTTGTGGGTTTCTTCGCCCTTCTTCTTCTTGTTTTTAGTACAACATGTGAGGTGGGGGATCGAACTCACACTGTCAATTACCGTTGAATTATATTCGTTTGGACAGCCTTCCCTCTTTCTTCTCTATGTTCATTTTCTTCTATATAAAGTAAACATAGTTTTGAATATAGTCCATAACTAAATAAAGCAGTGATGAAGTAAACCTACACATGTTATCCATGATTAATTATTTTTCTATACAAAAAAATTATACATAATTAGATCAGTTTCTTTCATTAGTTAAAAGAGCACACATATTATTGAAAAGACTAAATTACAATAAAAACAGCAACCATTTTTTTGAAAAAACAAAAACTACCCCTAAACTCCCTTAGTTTAAAAAACAACCATATCTTTTCAAAAGTTTTAAGAATATCAAATAAATGTTTCAAAAAATACTATTCAAACAAACCTAAGTTAATATTTTGAATTGAAAGTTCATGGTAAAATTTCGAACCACATAACAATTAACGGAAGCTTACCTTGAACAATTAATTGACATTACCAAAAATTTGACTTAAAATGTGGTCGATATAAGAATCTGTCGTTGTTTCTATTTATTAATTATTTTACAGTCATTAAAGATCAAGTTTGTTGTAAATAGATACAACATTGAAAGTCCAAAAACGAAACGTAGTATTATCACCATTTTGTTACCTTGCAGGTGGACCCGACCTGAACCAACTTTATTTGAAATATTTAGAAGATATAGATAAAAATGCTGGAGATGTACCCCAAGTTTTGTATCAACAGTTCAATTTCTGTTATTGATTGTGTGATATTTTTGGTAGATATTGCAACTTGGCTTACTCATGATAGCCAACTCTTGGGGATCAACAATTTTATTAAAGGACAAAGATTGTAAGGTGTTACCTGGGGAAATAAAGCTGGCCCATCACTTTGAGGCTACAAACCATATATATATCTATTTGAATATTATATTATATTCAAAATTAAATTATTAAATATTACTATTCTCGACTATAAGATTAGAGGTTTGAATCTCCAATCCCCATCTCCCATGTTGAACTCAAAAATAAAGTATATACGTGTACTTACATATATGGTAAAATAAATCCAATTAATTATAAATATGGTAAAAGAGCAGCAGTCACTCATTTAAAAAACCAAAATAATCTTAAAATATGTGTAAGTCTATCATGCAAATAAATGATATACGAGGGTAAAAAAATTAATATAAAAATGTCTAAACAGGCTTGTGGATTTTCTAAATGCTTGTAGATTCGTAATTTTGTTGCTATATTTACAACTGCCAAGAATTAAAATTTCCCTTTTTTTTTCTACTTTGGAATCTTAATGGTGTGGTTCATTCTGTTGCCTCTCAAACCTTACATAGGAATAAATGGTTTTATATCAATTGGTTAGGGTGTTCTTTGTAATTGTACTTGCAAGATTTCTTGACTGTCTAATTTAATTAAAAATATATATTAAATTAAAATAATATGAGAAATAACTTTTAAAAGCACAATTTTATTCAAGAAAAGAAAAAAAAAACTTCTAAAACAAATAAATGACCATAGTGAAGTGACTTGTTCGGTTCACATGAATCAAACCCCACATATCTTCTGGCTTATTTTATTCTCAACCATGTAACAATATAATTTAATGTAACCGAAATCGACGTAAATTGAGGTATTCAATTTTTGTCCACAATGTCTATAATTTGACATCAATATTTCCATGGCATGACAAGAAAATTGACAAAATATAAAAAATGGAAAATATCACTAGACGTAATTTTTTATTTTTTATTTTTTTGAGTAACTAGACGTAATATTAATATTAATAAAATTTAACTTATTTAGAAATATGTATTTGTTATTTTAAATATTTGTTCTGAATTTTTATTTTTATAATTTTTTCAAAAAATATCTATTGTTATCAATATTTTCATCAATAGTTTCTTAAAATTGAGACATCAACATTTAAAATCTTGATATCAACTACCTTTTTCAAAAAGAAAATAATAAAAATGGTATGCTTATTATAAACTTTATTAAAATATTTAGATGTCTATTTGCTTAGTGTTCAAAATAGCGTCTCTCATTACCCATTGCTCAATGAAAACCTCCATCTGTCTATTTGTTCTCAATTCTTAGTGTCCAATTAGTTACACGATTCCCAAATTTGCTTATAAAAGGAGGGTTGTATGGGTTATGTAAGACTAATTTTGTGTGGAGGAATAATCAAAAAAAATTATTCCAAATTTTATTTTCCAATTTTATATTTTATTCATTCCGTTGTTCTTACTCTCCTGTGTCTCGTTTTACTCTTCAATTTCACAACGACATAGTTGCGTCATTTCTCAATCTTTCTGATTTTAATATTTATAATATTCAACGACACAAATTTATAAGTTTAAGTTTAAGGAAAAAAAAAAACTTTACCTTATAAAAGTTTGATAGTTTAAAGTCTAGTATTTGATTTAAAATGTTTATCCATTCAAATCCTACTTCCGTCTTCTACATTCATTTAACTAAGCTCACGTTAATTCAAAATTAATTGTTAATAATCTGTTTTAACAGCAATTATGAACAAAATTTTAAAAATAGTTTTGTCATGACTTTTCTATTTTTAACCAAAAATTCAAGAGTTTGTATTTTCCACTTGGTACTGAAAAAAATTCTTTCAGAAATAGTTTAAGGATATGTTACTATTAATAACTAACCACGTGTCCAGAGTCTAAAAGTTCCTTCCTAGAACCAAATTCTCTTTCATCCAAATAAAAAAAAAATACTAATGAATTCCCATATTTATTGTATATAATTTTCTTTATTTTTTGAATATTATATAACATATGTCGGGTCTGTTGGAACCTACCTGGAAGAATAAACATGTCTTTTTCACTTAACTATAGTTAATTAATCCTCATATTTATGTTCGAAAACAATCAAATTTTTAAGAAAAACAATTTTAATTAATTATTATTTTTCTTTGAATTTATCTTTATACATCAACTATTCCTTAAATTTATTTAAATTATGTCCATTGTAAAATTATAAATTTATAAATAATACTTTCCAATAGATCAATGTAAACAAAGTTGCTTACTCTTCCTAACAAAAATTCTACAGAGACATTTAAATAACTACTTTTCAAAAGTAATATTTTTTTAGTATTCTCATGGATCTCACGGATGTCCTATTTTTTTCAAAGTACGTCAAATTTGTTGGATTAAAATACTCACTTTACTTTGGATTTATTTTATTGGTAAAATATATTTGTAGTTTCGAATATTTGGGTATGATATTTATCCGAAGATTTTAAAAGGAACATTGTTAATATGGTAAACTATATTAAAATTTTAATTATTTTTCTTAATTTAGATTATGAAATGAGCTTATGGAACAATTATTTTCTAAACTTCAAAGACTAAAGTGTCTTTTTTCAAACTTTAGAAAGTAAATAGATATTAAAAACTCAAACTTTAAAGATTAAAAATGTATTTTGCTTTATTTTATTTTAGTTCAATTACTTGATCAATATTTATACCTTAAATAAATCTTAAAAATGGTCACCCAATTGACTTAAGGTTAATTTTGATTTGATTTAACAAAAAGGAAAGGCACAACTTCCATTTTAGAAATAGCAAAATGTGAATAAGTTTCCCAAATGTTTAAAGGAAATATCTATACAAGAACTAATTTTGTTTGTTTTCAAAACTTAACCTTGGCCCGTGCAGACTATTTTATTAATTCATCACAAGCTTTAAAATTAGACTTAAACATTTAAAAATAATTAGACTTAAACATTTAAGAATATCTCAACTAACATAGAGTAAGCTCTATAGTAGAAGGATAAATGATAATTTAACAAATTTGTCATTATTCCTTTTAAAGATCATCAATTTGTAAATGTGGAAACGGTATTTAATTGGAAAATATCAGACAACATTTTTAAAGATGGAATTTTTGATCATTGAGTCATCTCATTTTAATGGGATCAAGTCCAAAATAAAGCGATAGGTGGGGCAGGCAAAACAAAGTTCATGAGACAACATATAAGTTGTGGAATCAAAATTTTTATTCATCAATTAGGCATAAAGCTTGTTTTAAAGAGTTCACTTAATTTGGTTTGTTTGGACGGAGTAGAGTGGCGTACAAGAGAGAGTCTAATCAATTTATTTTCGAACAGTCCCTCAAATCAAAATAAAAACAAGTTATGGGCCAAATAATAAAAGAAAAGAAAAGTTCAAAATAGTTTTGAAAACGAATTTTCTAGGAAAATCAAAAATCGAGAAGCCAAATTCTGTTTTGGCTGCTGACACGTGGAGAAAAAAGGAGTCCAGTTTCAACCTTCACGAGTCCTACCTCTCCAAACCACCTAAAAAATCCTATATTAATCCCTCATTTTCTCACCTTTGGAACACGCGTCTCAGTTCTTCTGATATCTGATCAAAGTTTTCCTCAGCCTTTGATTAATTTTTTTTAATTAATTGTTTTGTTTTTTGTTGTTTCATCTGGAAATCCAACTTCCCAGTAGTTTAATCGCGTTCATCAATTTTTGGAAGCGTTTCGATTTCTGAAATTAACAGAAACAGAGAGAGAGAGATGGAGAAGAGTACCTTGAGTGGGTTGTTGAAGAAGGCCGCCTCTGAGTTTCCTCGCCGGCGGGCTCTCTCAGTCTCCGGAAAGTTCGACCTGACACATGAGCGCTTGCAAGAGCTCGTCGAACATGCCGCGTCTCTCCTGGCGGATGCCGGAGTTAACGCCGGCGATGTGGTCGCCCTCACCTTCCATAACACTGTGGAGGTACGTCTTCGGTGAACTTCTTGTGATTTTTTTCCTTTTTTTTTCCCGCGGATTCTCTGGCTAAGCCCCTGTTTGGTTGCTGAGAAAATTTCGGTGAGAAACAGTAGAAAAAAGTGCCTGCATAGTGTCAATTACGCAATCTTAACGTCTTTTTTGTTTTTTGTGCTTTGATTCATGAGAATGAGAGCGAGAGGATTGATTGAATTAATTGATTTACCTTTACTTTTGTAAGAAGCTGATGATGATCAGATGTTTCCTCTTGCAGTTTGTGATCATGTTTCTGGCCGTAATCCGCTGCCGAGCCACGGCTGCGCCATTAAATCCGGCTTACACGGCTGAGGAGTTCGAGTTTTACTTATCGGACTCGGAATCGAAGTTTCTCCTGACGTCAGAAGAAGGGATTCCATCCGCTCAATCCGCCGCATTGAAGCTCAATATCCCTCAAGTAAAAGCAAGCCTGTCTGGCGACGATGAGTTTCTCAATCTTTCTCCGTCAGGAACCGAATCGAAATCGAACATGGCGGAAATCGTAAACGATCCGTCCGATGCGGCG